TCAAGAGATCTCTCGGCTACAACCGCTTCAAACGACTTGTCGGATTTCCAGGAATGTTGGGACAAGAAAGCTGTCGGTCAAGTGGATTAGGCTGAAGATTTAAATTTTTGGTGGAAGTTTTCACATCGGAATTTAACCATGTCAATTACAAAGGGGTTTTGGAGATCAATACGTATTGTTAGGTTTGGAACGTATAAGAGACAGTTTTTTCGATGAATCACAAACTTCAATTCCGTATTTCCAGATCGTTCTCAGGGGGGCGGGGCTCGTAAATGGTGAGTTTGTTAGCAAGGTATAAGATATATCTATGGTCAAATAATGTAAGGAGGAGTTTGTAGCGTCGGTTCGTTTCCTGTTTTTTCAGCCCCTGAGCGAAGGGTAACGGTCTGTCAGATGGGATTTTAATATTAAAAAGTACGTGAAAGGAGAGTTTCAACGGCAAACCAGAGTGCCATACCCAGACGATTGAGCCACATCGAGAAAGACACCCGAGCAATACTGTTTTTGCTCGTGAAAGGATGATATAGTGTCTAAAAAGTGAGGCACTTGTTGTATGGTGGAGCAGTTTCATGTATTGATATAAATCTTTTGGAGGAGAAGCTTTTCAAGAATTTTATAGGACACGAAGGAGACCAACAGGGCGGTAGGAGGCTAGATGTTGGGTAGGTTTGCAGGGTTTTGGGATCCATGTATTAAAAAGTATGTTGGTCTTAGTACAGCGTTGTAGTTATATATCAGAAAGAGCAGACCTTGTCTTTAATTAAATTTAGCAGTACATTGGCTGTAATTAGGTCATGTCTTATGATAACATTAATATTTAAGTAATTTTCATATTTATATAAATTTAAACAAATTCTTTGCACCGCAAATGCTTTTCAAAGTATTTAGCAATTTATATAAACGCTGAACTGAAAGCGCACAAAAGGACGAAGGACTGCTTATTTCTGATGCATACCAAGACTGCGGTCATTGTCAATACTGTTACAGTCCTTGGCAATGTTGGGACTGAGTCGGTCTTCAAGGCAATTTGAGATCGCTTTCAAAAACTTAAATATGTAAATCTGTAGGCATATTTAAAGTTGTTTTGCCCTCATGATGACCTTACAATAGATCGAAAGCTTGGCAGTAGCACCAAATCTGCTTTCATCCTCAAGACCATACCTCGATCCAGAGTGTTCGTGATACGAAACGAGCCATGTTTTTTTGGTAAAATGAAGGATAACATACAATAATTTTCATATTTATATAAATAAATAAAAAAATATTTGCCTATCAATTAAATTATTCGCAAAAAATGTAAAAATTTATAAAATTAATAATCGGAAGTACTTTAAAAAAAATTCTTGAGGTGGAGGCTTTAGCGAGAAGATACGAAACGTTATGATAAAATGAAAATTTCTCAAACAGAAATTTTAATAATTCTACAAATTAAAAAAATATCTCCCTCTCAATTAACTTTTCTAAATATTTAAAAACTTATGAAATCAATAATCGAAAGTATTAAAAAAAAGGATTCTTGATCTGGAGACTTTAACGAGTAGTTGAATGAATTAATGAAACGAGCCATGTCTTCTGATAAAATGAAGATTTCTCAAACAGAAATTTTAATATTTCTATAAATTAAAAAAAATTTTGGCCTTTCAATTAACTTTTCTAAATATTTCTAAATTTAGAAAATCAATATTCGAAAGTAGTCAAAAAAAGTATTCTTGAGCTGGAGACTTTAACGAACCGTGTCTTACGATAAAATAAACATTTACAAACCGTTATTTTTGTATTTGTGTTAAACACATTTCTTTGTCCCTTAATTGACTTGTATAAATACTTATGCTTTTAAAAAAATCACTGCGACTATGCTAACATATCGGAACGATGAACTCAAAATGGTCTCATTTTTAGGATATACACGTGCATAAACAAACCGAATCTTTCTAAAACAACCGAAAACTTAATAATGAATTGCAGTGTATATAATTTCGAAAGAATTGCATCACGTAGTGGCACAGGGAAGGGACATTTCATAAGGGATGTGCATCAAAAATCCTCTTACGCAACAGGGTCCCTCCTAAGTAACGGTATTTTACACGTCGACTGTTTTATACCTTCTGTTTTCAACATCCGTTAGCGGTTTAACGACGACGGATTATTTTATTTTTTGAATCAGATTAGTAAAAATTATAACTTCTGACGGGTTGGTGATTTTGATCAAAATAGGCCGTTAAAGAAGAGAGAAGTTTTTAACCATGGGCCTTAAGAAATCTCAGAAAAAAGGTGTCAATACTATTATTGCAATATTATGTTACACATCGATATGAATTGATGTACATTTTTTTCATCAGTACAACCCAGCGTCCTACAAGGGAGAATGTTTGGTCCCATCATGTTTACCATTTGTCGGTGAATTTCCTATGTATCTCTTCACCTACGTGGATTTTGTCTTCGAACCGAGTCTTATCCAAGAAAAACAATTTAACTGTACATTGGCAAGACAATAAAAGGACCGAAATCCAATCCAGTCAGGTACTTGATAAAATGGTTTCGGCGTTTTGCCATCTTCAGTGTGATTTCTGTCTGAGAAATACTTTCGCACGATCAGATACTTAGGACTTCACCTAGACAGCAGACTGACGTTGATTCCCGAGACAAGGCTGAAGAGACAAGAGGACTTTTTAGATAGAAATCTGTGTTGATTTTCAGACTAATTTGATAGTTTTGTACATGCTTAGGTCTCTGGGGGGCCCGACAAATCACAAAATATACAAGGAATTCAGTATAAAGTTCTCAGAAACTAAAGCTACTTACTAAGTCATTAACTTCATTATCACCAAGGCCCTCGCGCTTTGGCATCTTCAGCTGTTGGTTTTTGTGCTATTTTGCCATTAGTACAATGATATTAACCGATGGTAAAAGGACACTGCTTGAATAAAATAAATATTTAAGACAAAAGCGTATGTGATTTAAGGTTGGAACTGGGTTTTTGAAGTTTATTTTTGTCAAGGCATGTTGATATTTGCTCTGGTAAATTTTCAGAGGAAAAAAAAAGATTTTTTTAAAAGAGACAACCTATCGTAAATCACGTTTTTTTCAGAATCCTTGAAAATCCATTGGATACGTCTCCTAGTCGTGGATCAGAATGGTCACGGCATTGTCAGGTACACGTTTTAAATTATTGCGAAGGGACGGAGTGTTAATTCGGCATAAATCATATTTTTCAAAAGGAGGTTAAAAGATTTAAGATAATAAAATGAATTTTGGACAAGGATTTTAAAATAAAACGTCGTTTCGAAAAAGTTAGACGTTAGAGGCTTGATTTCCCCCCTTTCTAATATTAGCATTTGGATGCAAATACGCGCTATTATTGTCTGATAAATTCTCATTTTTACAGTTGTGCCCCGGATGCCGAAAAAAGGGCCCCATCTCGGAAATTAATCAGCAAAAAAATTTCTGAATAATTTAAAATCCTCCGGGCACGGTTTATCGCCGTTTTACGAGCCGGGGGTCTCACGGAGGGCTGCGGGACCGTTGAGAAATTTAGAAAAGCCAACCGTGACGGCGATTCGACGCCCGATCGGTAGCACCGCAGCCACCTAACACCAATAGATAAAGGATAAAGTAATCGAAGATCTCGCCGATACCGTGCATACATTCCGGATTTTATCTGAGAACACTCAATGGCCTGTTATAAATATACATTATGTAAAAAAAATCCCCTTTCAAATGAAGAATGATATTTCCTTATTAATCCTTCGTTTGTTGTATTTTCTTCTCGTGTAAACAATTATTGACTTTACGATTAATAATCCAGAAAGCAAAACTTCAGTTGGGAAAATTGATTTGTCAATTTTGTTTTCACGTTTGTGATTATCACACAAGTTAGGCCAAATAATTAATACAGTTTTCTTTCAAGCCTAATCCGCCGTTATTTTGAATGCCAAATGCCCCATAGAAAATACCGGTGGTTCATTTAATTTAGCAGAGAGAGAGCTATAAACATAGAGAGAGAGAGAGAGAGAGAGAGAGAGAGAGAGAGAGAGAGAGAGAGAGAGAGAGAGAGAGAGAGAGAGAGAGAGAGAGAGAGNAGAGAGAGAGAGAGAGAGAGAGAGAGAGAGAGAGAGAGAGAGAGAGAGAGAGAAAGAGAGAGAGATAGTGAGAAAGAGAGAGAGAGAGAGAGCTAGAAAAAGAGAGAGAGCTATAAACATAGAGAGAGAGAGAGAGAGAGAGAGAGAAAGAGATGAAGAGAAAGAAAGAGAAATAGAAAGAGTAAGATAAAGATATTTATAGAAAGAGAGAGAGAGAATTTGGATCGATTTGATTTCTTTAGGACATCTGCGAAGAACGAAACTTTATTAGAGAGAGTTTGGTATAATTAATAAAAATACATAAAAAAGAGTTGATGTTTAATGAGATTCTTGCGCAAGTCCCGAGGTGACCAGAATTACTTTCGATTTATAGGATTTCAGTTGAGCTTATTTAAGATCTATCGGTACGATAATTGTTCAATCATTTTAGTATTTGGTATATTTAAATTTCAGCTGGATTTCTTTAGTCTATACTTAATTTTTTATTTTTTATATAATTTTATAGTAGTGGTATTTTTTTTTTCAATTGTATTAAGGGAAGAGATTGAATCTATTGTGTTTATTTTATTAGAGCTGGTGAGAAAGGCAATCACTTCTGAATTTATGAAACGCCTCGTGAGTCGGAGTCATTTTGTATATGTAAATATATGCATGTACGTAACGATTCGATGTCGGTACTGCTACGGCTATTTATACAATATTGTTTCGATTGGATTATTCAAAGATGGTCGTTTATTGAAAGATTATCGCTTGTGATCTGTTTAATTTAACCAATTTGTGGATATGTTTACTTTTATTAGGTAGACGATGAAGTTAAAAAATTTGATTGTTTGTCAATATAATGAAAAATGATGGGATCGTCGAGACGGTGACGTCAAAAAAAAGGAAAAACTACTATTAAGTATGAAATGAACAACTTACTGCCATATATCGCTTAGTTTGTCTTTGTCAGTGAGGTGAGGCAATTTGTAGTATTCATAGATGAATCCCATTGAAGTGGGGGGCTGCTGGTCTTCGGGTGGATGTCCACTTATGTTGAGCATAGCCGACGTAGCGGCCGTGAGTGGGTGCTCGTAGTAAGATCTCCAACTAGTTTCTTCCGGTGATGCACCCTCATCACCACCTTCAGCCATCCCCGAGCCCCCCTCCTTCACAATCCTGAAAATCATCCCCAGTCAAAAATCAAGCCCAACAATCGTCGAGCCCGCGGAGGCAACTTGGAAAACACTCTCGGGATTTCATATGCGTTAATAAATCCGATGGAGCTGTAATACGGATGAATCCGGTTTCGGAGGGCCGAAGAATATGTTTATTGTGTTTTTAAGGAAATTTCGACGGCGTTTCACGTCGGGCGTGTGGGTTGTTTGTCTTTCGAATTTAAATCGACGATCCATAAAAATTCTTTTACGGCCCTCGAGGGATATATATAACGTAAAAAAGCACAACGGGCCTTTCGACAAAAGGCAACTTTTCGCCCGGAAAGCTTTTACATAACATAACATATTTGTAAGTGTATTATTCATTTTCGGTTTTGAACTAGGTACAGTGGAAAAGAGATTTTGAACTATGCGCTCGTTACGTAAGCAATCACTCTTCCAGACGGTTACGGTATTATAGAGCTCAGCACAGATTGATTTCGAGCCAGTTTGATAGTATCCTTATTTATTGCCGTACGGATACGGGTATGTTTAGAACGATTTAGGCCTCACAGACAGGCTTCAATGTAAGCGGTCATTTTCAATAAATCATAAATCTGTAGACCTATTTAAGAAGAAAATGGAGATTGTCTTGGAGAAAATTTAAGCTAGTCCTGCATACTTAACCGGCCGTTAAAATCACCCCAACACGATGGGAATAGTCCAACATTCACCTCATCAATCCAATTTATTTGGAATTGTAAATTATAACAATATTATCAAGGAAGAAATCAAATATATTATTAAAAATTATTTACAACCCGAAGGTTTTTTTATATTTAATTTATCTTTCAGGCCTTGAGATGTCAAAATACAAAACGTTTTCTTTTGTGTCAAGTTTGCGGTTAAAAAAAAAAAGTTTGATCTATTCAGCCATATTATTAATAATTTCATAAACTGCAGCTATTCTTCGTGCTTGACCACCCGTTGAAGTCACTTAATATTAATTTAAATACAGCCTTGATGTTTCATTAATGATTATGTAGCTTTTTAAATATGCTTTTGTGCTAGTTCATATGCTTCACATTATTGATTTAAGTTTTAAAAGTTGCTCAAATAAATTAAGCTTGTAACGTGCAATGAGTTAAGCTATTTTACAGATCAGAAGTGTTATATGTTGCGCATTTTATACATCTTTTAATGTATTACCATGCTATGTTACAATTTAGGGGTTGTTACCATCGAAACAGTTTTATCCGGATTGCCTCCAATTTGGTATGATTCCCTGCATCGTCCCAACCGGCTCCGATTGTATCTCGTCAGTTCAACTGGCGGTTATCGTCTCACCGTAATTCCACCTCAAAGTACAAGCGATTGTGATCGGAACGGACCTTCAATTCTCTAGTTTGCCTTTTATCTGTTATTTTTTTGTTCTGTACGAAAGGACTTTCTTGTCATATGAGTCATTGCGCTTTTTCTGAGGTTGTGATGAAAAGTTAAGTCAAATCGACTTTAGAGAACGACCATTTTTTCCCTTTTTTGTTTAAGTCCATTTTTACTCAATGGACATTAATTTTCATACGCATTCCTTATTTCAAGAGAAGGTTCTGTTTAAGCATATTACTTTAACATTTTACGTAGTTAAAACAATTTTACAAGGCTTTTCAGTTGTCCAAAACGAGACACAAGAGTAGTAATTGTTCGGTACCTTTTTTTATTTAAATCTATTTGTTCTATTTTTCTCAGTTTAATATGAGCCCTTACTTAGTTTTTAGAATTTTGACAGCAACCTGATTTTGTGATAAAATTGTACGCCTGTTTTTATACAAGAAAATTAATTTCTCCCCTCTTGAGTGTTTTTCTTTTTCTTTTTTTTTATTATTGTCCACTAAGATTTTTTGTCTTTTATTGCTCAACAAAATAAAATGAGAATTGGTTCAATATCATGAATTCGGGAGAAAATTGTACCGAAAGGTACACAAGGTATACAACTTTTTAGGAGAAACGATTTTCCTCTTTTTTAGTTTTTAAAAGGAAGGCCCAAAAATTGTCATTTTTCGGTATATTTTTTCTCAAAATCTATTTGGTCTAATACAACTACACTTTTATTTTCTACTTTTTCTGTTTACTACAAATCCTCACTTAGGGTTTTTAGAAAGATAGTTAATTTTTAACGAAAACTTAAATTTGGGACAAAATTTTACTCTTTTTTTAATACAAGAAAATGACTTTCTCCCGTCTTGATTGTTTTGTACAAGAAAGTTCGCCTAAATTATTTATTGCTTAAAAAAAGGAAATAATAATCATTTCAATATCGGGACAGATTTTGAAGAAAATTTTATTGAAATATGAAAATACAACATTTCAGGAGAAGCGATTTTCTTTTGTTTACTCTATCAAAGAGGCCCAAAATTGCTGTTTTCGGTACCTTTTTTCAAAATCTATTTGGTCAAACAATGATTCTTTTTTCCTACTTGTTCAATTTACTACGAATCCTCACTTAGCGTTTAAAAAAACAGTGAATTGGGAATTTTTGACGTCAACCTAAATTTGGCACAAAATTTTACATTTTGTTTTGTACAAGAAAATTAATTTCTCCCCTCTTGAGTGTTTAAAAAAAATATTTTTCGCTAAGATTGTTTGCCTTTTATTGCTTAACAAACTGAAATGAATAAATCGTTTCAATATGACGATAGTTTTTGAAGAAAATTTTATTGAAAAGTAAAAATACCGCTTTTCAGGAGAAGAGTTTTTAGTTTTTTTTTCGTTTTTCAATAAGAGCCACAAAACTTACTATTTTTCGGTACCTTTTTGCTCACAATCTATTTGGTCTAATACAACCATTCTTTTATTTCCTATTTTTTCAGTTTACTACCAATCTGCTTAGGTTTGGAAAAAGTGAATAGGTAATTTTTGACCGCAACCTAAATTTGATTTGAGGGGCGTTGGTGGCCGCAACGGTTCAGGCGATGACACGGCGCTCATCACTGTAAGATAAAGGTCCGGGGTTCGAATCCAGCGGCCCTACATTCGAACCGGACATACTTGCAAATGTTTTTTTGTTTTTCAAAAACACCGGCACACCGAGGGTTCATATAACCTCTGTTGTTGCACTCTCGTAAAAAAAAAAAAAATAATAATCAAAAAACAACCTAAATTTGAGAAAAAACTTGATTAGAAAAGAGTGAATTTCTCCGCTCCTAGGTGTTTTTAAATATTGGGCACCATCATTGTTATTACCTAAGAAAATATACAGGGTTTGGGAGAAAATGTATTGAAAGGTGAAAATATACCTTTTCAGGGGATTTTTCAATCGGATTTTTCCTATTCCGCTGAATAAAACTTTACAGACCGATTCTTTCTTGAGGAAAAGCATTAACAGCTCTGTAAAGGTTTCGACAGAAAATTAAAAGAATCAAACAGCGTCAGGTCTAGTCTAGTTGCAAGGTTATCAAAGCACATGATTCGGAAAATTAAACAAAAAAAAATTAAAAAAATAAATAAACCGATTCCAAAGACCGGGACCTCACAGAGTTAGTTTCATTATGTACAAAAAACGATTTAGTTTAATGCAGATAAATAAGGATACAATTTAAAAATCTGGTCTTTTTTTAAATAAATCATTGCAGGGCAGTTCTGTACATTATGCTCTGTTTACTAAATCATTTTTTATTCCTGCAGTGTGACTTTTTTTTAAAAAACCAATCAAAGACTGGTTTCGGTTCAGAAACTCTTCCTTCCATTCACAAGAGCATTCATTCTTGGGCTCGAATTTACATACGGTTTGGTGGAAAGGAGCGCGATAAGCAGAAACTAGTTTTTTCAAGCCATAGAAATACTTTTTTTATTTAAAAAAAAAGAAGATAATTTCTAATTTATTTCTTAATGGCGAAGTCGTTCTTCGCATGTCGACCGACATTGGATTAGCTCACGGAAAGCACAAATAATCCAAGAGGATCAGATAATTCCGAGTGTGTAGATGACAGGTTACTCCTTTTTTTATCGCGTGTTCCTTAATGAATCGAAAGGAATTAATGGGCGTAATTAAAGTTGCGGTTGACGCCCTGTGTTGAAACGAAGTCAACCAAGCCTTAAAAAGACACTACAGTGCTGCTTTCAAATTTTATACTCAATCAAATATGGCCATTGGTACTCATGTTCTTTAACTTTTTTTCGTATTATTTGAACAAGAGCCACTCGTTGTATGTTCTCACGTATCATTAGAATAAATGTTAACAGAATCCGGCATATTTTTTTCTATTATTATTTTCAGCTGAGAACTGATGGAGGGAAACGTTTCAGAAATTCAGAAAAGCCGTTTGAATGAATTCTGTTTTTTTTAAGTTTTATGTGGCGTTTAATTACTTAAATTATTAGATGGCATCTTTTAATTATGATTGGACGGCAATTGGTCCAGGGATGCCTAACGGACATAGATGACCAAACTGACCCCCCCCACCTCATGAATAAATCCTTCGAATCTTTTCCCACTGAATATTAAATTAAAATCTCTTTTGAGCCGGAGAGGGGAATTTATTCAAATATTTAGACGGATACAAGAGCTGTTTAGATTTTTAAAAACAAACCTGACAGTTTTATTGTATGTCAAATTAAGAAAACATGTTCCTTAACAGGGAAACTTTCTCAAAGTAAAATTCCGATTTTAAGGATTCTCAAGAAAACCGCTTTATCTTGAGATACATTTTTAAAATCGTACATTTACTGGCATGGCTCCAAGGGAAAGACGCCAAGGTATCCTTTTATTATTTCACCTTTATCTTTCATTAAAAAAAAAAGTAGCCCATTTAACATACGAGCCTATAAATAAATATCCGCGAATACACACCTGATGTTTTCTTTCCTTCAAGATTCTTATCTTTTGCAGTAAAGTGAAGGATTTTATAAAAATTATTTTAAAAAAAATCTCTACCAACAATCAATTATTTATAATATGAATAGATTATTTCATCTGGCCGCTTGATTGATCGCCGCCAAAGTGAAACAACTCCGAACAGTGGATAA